CTGCTAGGGTTAGGGTTGTGTTGTGTGTTTGTGCAAGACCTATAAATCAAGTATTTATATGTCTTGCATAAAACCCTAGCGGGCTTAAGTTGGACCGGGCCCAACAGCTTAAGTCCGTTAGTACTTTTACTTGCTCGTCTCTCTTAATTCAATGACCGAAAAATTGTAACGATTACATTTTCGGAACCATCATAATTTCCTCGTCATTACGAGTGCCATTTCTCATTTTCCAACTTTCCAAAAGTGGAAACCCTAGTTCAGTGCACTTTCTAAATTTGGAAACTTCCCGATTTAGAAAGTTCACTAATACGTTCGCCTATTCTTTTCCTTTTCTTATTCTCATTCATAATTCCAAATTACGAATGTTGGACTCAATCATATTGACTTCCAATCATGCAAAGATAAACTATTTTTATCTCTGACCGTTTATTCAAAGATCTCATGTGCACGAGCAGTGTGACCCTCGATGGTTCAGGTGTAAGCTAGCCGTGGGCCCACAACTCTTTGTGGTCAAAACTCGTCCCTTAGAGTTACGATTAAGATGAAGCTCGTTTCACCTTAATCACCCAACGAATCAAGATAGGCGTCTAGCAACTACGCGTCATGATTCCCTAGATACAAATGAAGTGCCTGCAAGAACCTTCAGATATAGTTAACGTACAGTACGGTCCCTTCGATTCATATGTCCCGATCGAACTAGAGGCATTGGTTCATCGAGACCTCTTTATATGTTCGATGACGGTGCGATCGTTCCAAGTGTTGTAATCCTTACGTGCATGACTTAGAGAATCGAATTCTCTAATCATCACCTAGTCAGCTCTGGCCAGAGACTTAGAATGATTACAAACTTTCAGAACACACAGGACATCCAAGACTATTCTAGCGATCGAATCCCCGACTACAATGCACAGACCTCCCACTAGATTTCGGACTGCACGAACACTGACCCTTGGGATGGTCCTCGGTGGAACTCAGGGACAGGTCACGATACAGCTGGTCCTCTAGTGAAGTCACGGTGATGTCTAGGTCATAAGGACTAATGGTGTACAACTATACCATAGATATCTCTACTCGATTATTGGGAACCACTTAGAGATTTCTAGGGTGAGGGAGTTCAGTGAACTCGTCAACTTACGAGCACCCACTTATGCATGCCGATATCACAATACCGTTTACTGATGAGATGCAGTACACATACACTAAGTGCTAGTCTTAATGGGAAAGGCCGATATCCTCATTAGTGGCGTAACCCTTCGACTAGGAACACGTTTAACAGTTATAATACTTAAGTAAATATCTCACGATCCTAACGATCAATTACTAGTACTTGTAATAACTGTAAGGACTACATCTATGCTTGTGACAAAGGGACAAAGATATAGAATGCCAATGTGTTTTATCATTAATACGAATAAAGGTTCGTTTATTACAATAATAAATACGAAAGACCACAGCCACAGGTTGGCTTGTTGGTCACCTACTCTAACATCCTTAACCCTAGAAAACGAGAAAAGGGGCTGATGAATTGGGGATGTGTGAATGTCAACGGCTATTAGGGCCCAATATTTTTTGGAATGGAAAAGACAACATTAACCTTGAGTTTAGCATGTGCAACGCATGTGGGATGAGAACCGGTCATTTTGACCTGCAAACGGGCAAAAAAGGGCAAAGCGGCACAATTAACTAAGTACAGATGAAGTCTTGCAAAAAAAATTTGTTCAGGTGGTAATCCGCAAAAACCTAAAAAGTTTAGGTGGTTTAATGCTATTTACCCTAATAATAATAATAATAATAATAATAATAATAATAAGAATAAGAATAATATATATATACATATATATATATATATATATATATATATATATATATATATATATATATATATATATATATGTGTGTGTAAAAAGAAAAAAAAAAAAAAAAAAAAAAAAAAAGGAAGAAGGCAGCTCGCGAGCTGCCGAACAACTAATTTTGGGCTCGAGCTCGAGCTCGTCCGAAGCTCGAGCTCGTGAGCTCGAGCTCGAAAAACCCAAGCTCGAGTTCGAGCTTTTTTCGAGCCGTCTCGTCAAGTTCGCGAGCCGGCTCGGCTCGTTTGCCACCCCTACCTGGAAAGCATGAAAAACTGCCCCTTATTACTTGTAATAGTTAGCCAAGTGTCAAGCAAGTATGCTGCCAAGTGTCCTTAGGTAGTTTTATGTGAAAACTACCTTATTCCTTGTATTTATATGGCTATGAGTGCACAAATCCGATCCATCTAGCATTAGAGAGTTCAGATTGCAATTGTGGGCATTTTGAGTGAAGATTTTGTGTGCGTGTGCACCTTAGTCTCCTTTGTATTCTTTGTGGGAAATTAATATAAAGGTTGGGCATTGACCGTAAATGTGCTTGTGTGTTGTTTTCTGCTGCACACTATTGTTCTCGTTTACGTTGTCTTAAAAGACTTGTGTTTGTGCGTTTTGTACGAAGAGAATCGAGAGAAAGGCTGACTGATTTGGTGGGCAAATCAGGCCGCACGGGCGAAAATTTCTTGATCAAAGAAACCCCTGTGACACTATGCAACTTGATTTACAAATTTGGCTCTAAGGTGATAGGCAATAGACTAAAATTGGATTTAAATGATTTGATTTCTCCGACTTAGTCTGCCTTTGTGCCTAAACGTCTTATTACAGACAACGTCCTTGTTGCTTTTGAGATAAACGACTTTATTAAGTTAAATTCTAATAATCGTAGAAATTTTATGGCTATTAAATTAGATATCAGTAAAGATTACGATCGGATTGAATGGAGTTTTCTTCAAAAAAATTCTCATTGTGGCATCCCATCCCCATTTATTGAGCTCATTATGCTTTGCAATTCCTCGGTCTCACATGCTTTTCTTTTTAATGGCAAACAGTTTGGTTCGGTACGTACGACCCTCGAGAATTTTGCACCAAGCGAACCCTTTATCCCCCTATCTTTTATTTGTTGTACGGAGGTGATGATCGCTATGATTAATAAGACAGAATACGGGGTTCAGATTGCGGCTACGGCGCCAACTATTTCACATTTGTGCTTTGCGGACGATACGCTAATATTTTGTGATGTCTCGACCTCGGACGACATTACTCTTAAGGGGATTCTGGACAAATATGCAAGAACATTTGGCCAGGAGATTAATGAGGAGAAGTCTACAATGCTCTTTACCCCATCCACTCGGCAAGCACATATGGACACGGCTCACCAAATATTGAGATTTAAGGTAGTAGAGAAATACGATAAATATCTCGACATGCTATGTTCGATGGGGCGCACTAAATACTATCTAAATGGCGATTTCTTCACTGCGTATATCGGGGCTTGACCTTCGGCAACGTAGAGGGGTATCTTGGCGGCACGACAATGGTTAAATGCAGGGATTAGAATTAGGATTGGAAATGGAACAACAACGTCGATTTGGGGGACCCTTGGATCGCTGAAGATGGTTGGTTTCGAGTCATTACGAGACGACCGATTCATAATGCGTTTCCCGACTCAGTTGCGGATCTCATCGACCCGGCTTCCGGCACTTGGAATGCAACCATCATCAATCACGTTTTTTGGCCGATTGATAGGGATCAAATCTTCTCTGTCCCCATTGGAAGTTTTCGAGCAGCAGATCTTATGGTCTGGCATTATACTCCGCATGGTAAATTCACTGTTAATTCTTGTTATAAAGTCGTTTTGTCAAGCTCTGAGCATGGCACTAGCCAGGGGCAAGCTTCTAGTGGTGTTGAGTCTCCGATCTGTCGAAAATTTGGAATTTAAATATTCCTCCCAAGATTCGAATTTTTTTGAGGTGCTCGATTTTGAACATTCTCTCGACCACACAAGAACCGTTTCGCCGAAAACTTGCCCAATCTCCTTTTTGTTTCCGATGTAGGGGGGTCAAATCTTTCATTCATGTCATTACAGAGTGCCGAGGAGCGAGATCGATTTGGCAGCAACATCCTTTCGAAGACGTGAGCATGTGCTAAAGAAATCGGATGGAATTCAATTATTATCGAAAGTTATTGCAGAAGGCTGGTTGAAGAACTAACAAGAGGAGAATCCACTTCTGCCTCATTTGGTGCTCTTCTTGAAGATTGTTTTGATATTTCTCGTACTTTTAACTTCGTCTCATTTGCTTTTATTAAGCGCATTGGTAATAGATTAGCTAATGCCATTGAGAAATCGTATGACAACTCTTGTATTGAAGGATTCACCCTTCCTCCAAATTTGGCGATTTTTGCCTAATAAAAAGTCTTTTTTTTCCCTAAAAAAAATATATCTACTTGTAAAGTAAGAGGATTCAATTTCATTTTATTGAGTTATGTTGGGTATCCGTTGAGCTATTATAATCATTGCACACCGAATAATTATGAATAAGATCGGAATTTTTCTCAATAGGCAGGCACTTAGTATCATATGTACAGGATTAAATTTGGGATGAAATCTTTTCAAGTCTAATTATACATTTTTCATATGTTAATTTTAGCCCCTTCCATTTCTAATTTAGTTATTCTGTGCTTCATTTCATTTACACCGTAATTCATCACGCGGTTTGTTATTTTTCGGGACGAAAAGTCTGCCGAATAATGTAAAGGCTGTATTTGTCGTGTTGTAAATAAATGTCGTTGCACGGTATCTAGACCGAACAACAATCGTCGGTTCTAAAGTTTTCCCCTTTTCTCTCAACAACTTGAAAGCATTTATTTGAAGTTATGTCACCAAAAATGAAGTCATTATTATAGTTAATGTCTTGAAATTTCAACTAAATATTATTCGAATATTGGATTCGAAATGGATCGTCAAATGCTCGTTTCAGCTCATTCAATATAATACCACCACAATGAACTAAATTTGAACATATGTATATTTTTTGTTCGATAAGAAATGAAGTTTCGATCGAGCTCCATCTTGATCGAAAAAAAGGGACAAAATTTATAAATAATATCGAGTTCCTTTTTTATTGTTCTAATTATTATTTTTTTTTTTTTTAAATTGTGAAAAGACAAAAGCGCTCTCTCCTTAAATTAAGTCCGCTTACTTCATGAAAATCCAAAAATAGTCCACAACTCATAAAAGAGGTGAACCAATACCTTTTCCCAACATAAAAAAAATTATTTAAAATTACTATATAGTCCTGATACAGAGCATAATAGACATCATGCATGCATGCATGTAATATTTCACATATAACCATCTATAAATATACCTCTTTTGGCATTGGTTTTAATTCATCTATTATTATTTATTTTTATTACATCCAACTTGTTGTTTCTTTCCTTTAATTTTTCTGCACATATTTTCCTCTAAATACTATTTTTTTTCCAAGTATGGAGAAGAAGAACGCCGACGAGAGTTCTAGCTCATTTCCGATGGGCGAAACCGCACAAGAACTAGGGTTTACTTACGTACCAAAATGCTACCAAGTACAAACTTCAGACATGCCTAGTGCGCACCCAATAAATGTCGCGAATGTTCCGCTAATCGACTTGTCTGGCATGAACGATCCATCCAGACGATCGATCCTCGTAGACGAAATTGCCAAGGCTTGTCGCCATAGTGGTTTCTTCCAAGTAAGTTATTTCAATTAGAAATAATTGATACATAGATAGATTTATTTTAATTGAAATAAACACCTGCACGTAACAAAAGTATATATTAATCGATTAACGAAAACCGGTGTGACACTATGCTTTCTCCTCCAGTACTGCATGCACGACACTAGGGTATGTTATGGTCGGTGCTGTTACATGATAATTTAATTACATATGAATGATTTAATTACTATTATAATTAAGTACTTAAATTTTGAAATCTTGATTATAATATGATAATTAGCATGGTTTTAAAAAAACAAAAAATATATATGTGGGACAGGTTATAAATCATGGGATACCGGAGGGAATAGTTGATGGAGCAATTAGGGCAGCATCCGATTTCTTCAATATGCCGACGAAAGAAAAGGCGGAATACATGTCGAACGATGTCCACAATCCGGTGAGATATGGAACAAGTTTAAAGGATGGAGAAGATAAGGTTCAATTTTGGAGGGTTTTTCTTAAGCACTATGCTCACCCTCTCCAGGATTGGGTTGGATTGTGGCCTCATAATCCACCTGATTACAGGTGATTATTAATTATTATTTCTCACTATTATATATTTAATTTATTGCATTAGCATGCATATATACATGATGATACGCGTGCATGAATGTGTATATATTATCTGTCTTTGTCAGCATATCTAGGATGTTGTATTTTAGGGTTAAAATTTCCCAATTATTCAAATATTATAAAGTTAATTAAATACTCCGGCCGACAGTCCAGTTAATTAGCATGCAGCTTGACGCCGACGATAGAGAGTAGTCGTCATCCCTCACGTCATCCTTAATTATTTTGTTCGAAATAATCTTAAGACATGACGTAATCAAACTTTGTATGCATGCAGGTTCAGATATTGACCGCTGCATTGAATTGTTATGCATGTGTTGTTCACGTCATGAAATCTTCAATATATATATATATATATATATATATATATATATATATATATATATATATATATATATATATACATATAATATTTAGACAATTTTGTTTTATAAAATACACACGACACGGTTACTATTTTTATATATACTTCAATTGTGGTAGATTTCTTTTATTTATTTTCAAATTTCATCTTTTTTTAAGACATGATTTGACAACTGCTACCATAACAAATGTCTTCATTAGAGTACAAAGAAATATCACTTTACTTTACAAATTATTCTTTCAAAATAGATTTCTTACAACACTTTAAATATGATTTGATTGCGTGTTGCGTAAATATTCGTTTTAATTCTCAAATTGCAAACAAACATTTAATTTCTTTCTAAAATTTTCTCCTACAATATTTCCCTTCAAATAAAGGAATGGAAATGTTGCAAATTAAATTAAATAGGGCCAAGCATAGCTTTGGATCTTTTTTTATTATTATTATTATTATTATTATTATTATTATTATTATTATTATTATTATTATTATTATTATTATTATTTGGTGTGTCGATCATCTCGTGTATCAAACTACTTACACCTATATACATATAAGATTTAAGAGTTTCAAGTTAAATGCATACTGTTTTATGAATTATAAATATTATTTGATCCTATATATATATGTCGAATTTTTCTAGACAAAAAATGGGAGATTACGTGGAAGCATCACAGAAGCTAGCCCAGACGATAACGGGCCTGATAACCGAATCCCTCGGGCTAGGCCCGAAATACTTGAGCACCAAACTAGACCAAGGAATGCAAGTGATGGCCGTCAACTGCTACCCACCGTGCCCGCAGCCGCAGCACGCGCTGGGCCTGCCTCCGCACTCCGACTACGGCTGCCTGACGACGATCCTCCAGGAATCTCCGGGCCTACAAATCCTCGACCCGGCCGACGATTCGTGGAGATCCGTACCCGTGATCCACGGGGCGATCCAGGTCCACATTGGGGATCAATTGGAGGTGTTGAGTAATGGGAGGTACAAAAGCGTGGTTCATCGAGTGACGCTTAATAGCGAGAAGACGAGGATTTCGGTTGCCGGGCTTCATACTTTGGGAATGGATGTGAAAATGAAGACGGCTGAGGAGATGGTTGATGAAGAGAATCTGGTTTGTTACAAAGAGAGCTGTTTTAGGGATTTTCTTGATTTTATTTCCAATAATGATATTGGACAAGGGAATAACTTCATGGATACAATCAAGATTCCTAAGTGATGTATTTTTTTTTTTTTTTTTTTTTTTTTTTTGTTTAATTATGGTTATGTTTTTTTTTTTTTTTTAAGGTTCTTCTAATTTGTCTTTGTGTTTTCTGAAGATTGTATGAAAAATGTATGTTCGAATTTGAATGATATTGGAATTATTATTTTTAGTCCATTTTAAAGCACTTTAAGCTCTCTTTCTTATGAAATTGGTTAAATTGTGAATATTTTTTGTGCGAATGTTTTTCTGCATATTTGTTAATTGGTAATTATTGTTAATTGGTAATTATGTCCTAATTTTGTAATTCGTGTTTTCAGTAGCATTTTTGCGCATGCATTTTTGCGCGAGTATTTTTATATATGGTTATCTACTTGTATTTTTATTCATGTTATTTTGTGTAAGTAGTTTTGTGCATGTTTTTAAGGTTTTAGACTTCCTTCTTTTTTTATTTTTAAAATCTTAACGCACAATAATTAAAGAACATATAAAAAATAAAAATAATCAATTCGAATTATTTGTATGATTGATATTTGATTGTGTCACATTTTCACGTGTAATTTTTGACACAGCATTCTTTTTCTTATAAACACTAATCAGTAATCACTATCTAATTCTAAATCTAATGGCCTGAGTTATTGAACAAAGGAAACAAATTAAGCAAACGAAAATGAATTAGATCTTAGATGCTATAAACAAGTGAATACCATCATCATAATTCATATATATATATGGATTATTCCAAATTTCTATTTATAGAAATTTAATGAATATCCACAAATTCTGTCAAACAAATATAAAACACAAGTGTTCATCACATAGACTACTCATAAGGAATAACTCTAAGAGTGTTTTCAAGATTGCAAATTAAAAAAACAAAAAAAGAAAAAGAAAAAAAAAATGCATCGATCTGCGAGCAGCAATCGGGTGCGGGAAGGCCACCATTTGAGCTATCATAATAATTCGTCTGCCTCGTCATCAAAACTGTCCTCATTGGATGCCGATGAACTGCCGTTGTACGACCCTTTCTCCGATGCCGCGAAGAAGGAAAAGGGCGGCGCTAGATTTGCAGAGGGCGCCGTCCATATCATACCTTTTGTCCTCCTCTTTTGCGTTTTCGTTCTTTGGTTTTTCTCTACCCCGCCGGGTAAACTACACTCTTCCGTATTTTATTTAGGCGGATGGATTTGAATTTAATTTTTATACCATGTTTTTTCACACAGAATTTTTCTGATGAATATATATATATATATTGAATTTTCTTTCTATTAGATCTTCCTCAAATTCAAATCATTCCCGATCCACTCATGCACATGTACACTTATCGTGTTTATGGTATTTAAACATTATTTTTGGATCTAATTTTGTTCCACACAATTCACTCTCTAAATTACTGTATTACTTGCATAATTTTTTTTTTATTTAATTATTAATTATTACTGCAATTTTTATGCTTGGATATACTTTTATGGAAACATCAAGCCTTTACCAAAATGCAACAGTTTTCTTTTTAAGGTTATTTTCATATATATATATATATATATATATATATATATATATATATATATATATATATATATATATATATGATAAACATGAGTTGAATCTCATTTTTTTTTTCTGAGCTCCTTTTTAATTGTATTAGAAGTTTATAAGTAAGATAGGTTATTTTAATTGTTTTTTTCTTTTGAGTAAAAAAAAATTGTGAATAATTGTTTTTAATAAATATAAAAATATAAATATATCAATAATAATTCTTAGAGTTCGATAAAATTGTGAATAATTTGATAATGGGACTTGTAACATAATTTTAAAATTGGACTTGCTAAATGCAGGAGAAATACTACATTTATTTCAGAGCGACAATTTTTTTTTTTTGCCAAAATACTACATTTATTTCAGAGCATAACTCAAATCAAAATTTGAATTTGAAAGTAAATACTGAGTAATTTTATCTCTCTATAAGCCTAAACCAAATACATGCACCGGAAATGGTTATATGTGCGCATGAACCAGACGTAATCAACTTATTTTAACATATAAAACATTTTTTATACCTTGTTATTAATGAAGACTATCTCGAGATATTTGAAGAATTCAATTATACTACATTTGTTCGGTTGAAACAATTCATTTATTGGTAAAGATGAATTTAAATACTTGGCGAGGTCTATAGCTCAAGAACACAATGGCAATGTCTCGTTCGGTTTTCATCTCGTTTTTTATCCTTTCCCGTAAATGCATGTATTTATGTTTGTTAAGATTTTTCAAAAAAGTTCCGATAACAATTTCAAAAGTTTATATCTCCTACATATATAATTTGACTGCTACAGTAAAAATATTTGATTATTGCTACAGTAATAATGGGTAAACTGCATAAAACCCCTCGTGTTATGGAAAACCTGCACCAAACCCCCTTTATTAATTTTATTGCATAGAATCCCCTGTGTTTTATTTTATCTTGCATGAAATCCCTATTCCGTTAACAATTATCACCGTTGACTATTTAGGGGATTTCATGCAAGTTTTTCATAACACAAGGGGGTTTGGTGCATATGTTATTTACAATACAAGTGGAATTTATGTAAAATTTATTTATTTATTTCAATGTTGAATTGTTTTTTTTGAAATTAAGTCAAATACATTTATTCAATTTTTGAAAGTCGAATTTTCAAAATTATTAATGTAATTATTTATATCAAAACCATATTCGGATTTTCATATTATACTTTGATGTAACAAATATATAACAAATACACTGATATAATACTTTTTTTTTATTCAAAATTGGAAATTTCCAAAAAAAAAAAATTAGCTTCAATTTTGATGCAATTTGTTTTTGTAAAGAAATGGAATAAAATTTTGGAAATCCAAATGAGAAAATGATCTAAAATTTAAAAAAAATTGAATTGGAAACGGCAAAATAACAAAAAGCAAAAAAAAAATTGTTAGCAATTTCATCCTTATCTTAGTCTTTAATTTTTTATATTACAATTGAATATATGTGTTTGACTTTATTTAAAAAAATAATTCGAATTTTAAATAAATAAAATATTTTTGCATAAGTTCCCCATATAGAATATATGCACCAAACCCCCTTGTGTTATGAAAAAGCTTGCATGGAACCCCTTAAATAGTTAACGGTGTTAATTGTTAACGAAATGAGGGATTTCATGCAAGGTAAAATAAAACACAGGTGGATTCTACGCAATAAACTTAACACAGGGGGGTTTGGTGCATGTTTTCTATAAAACATGGGTTTTTATGCGGTTTACCCCAGTAAGAAGTGTATTCACTGAAAAACAAAAAATCACTTTTATTCCTCAAAATTTTCTTCTAAAATATCATTTTTCTAACACGTTTAAACATGATTTGACTGGTACAGTGTATTTTGTTTCGTCTCAAAATATAAACAAACATTATATTTCTCCAAAATGAAATGAAAATATCTCTCAAAGCGAATCCAAACATTACCCATATATCCCTTTTTGGTGAGTGAAGAGTTTGAAAATGGTAGAGGGGGCAAAATGCAATTAACAATACTTTTGATTATAGTCACGTCTAGTCTTGTTTCGATAATGAAATAATCTGCAGCCAACTAATATAAGTGTATTAGGTAAATCTACACTTTCGTATACATGGGCGTACTTATGAGTATGTTTTGGTGCCCCCCCCCCTCCCAACAATTTTTTTTAAACATTTTTTTGTTTGTTACTTATGTATTAGTTAATGCACTTTCGCCCCCTAACCTTCTAATTTTATACACTTTAGTTCATAGAAAAAAAAAAAACTTCTCTCAAATCACCTATGTTCTAGCTCCAAGAACCTGGTCCGCCCCCGCTCTTATATATAATCAGTTGTCTGGTCTTGTCTTCATGTAAATAAACACAAAAATATCATAATAAGAATATCATTATCAAGCAATTAAAAGCTTAACCATCTTATAAAAAAAAGAAATCAAAAACTTAACGATCAATAATTTTGTAGGACAAAATACACTTTGCCCCCTATAAATTTTTATTTTTTGCACTTTCCCTCCCAAAAATAAAAAAAATGGATATTCCCCCTCCGAAATATTAGAGTAAATAGCACTTAACCCCCTTGTGGTTTGGACATTTTGCACATGACCCCCTTATAATATGAAATTAGACACATAACCCCCTTGTCGTTTAGACATTTTGCACATGACCCCCTTATGGCATGAAATTAGGCACATAACCCCCTTGTGGTTTTAAGATTTTGCACATGACCCCCTTATGGTATGAAACTAAGCACATAACCTCTTGAATAGAAAACTGGAAAAGACTAAATCACCCCTAAAGTTAAGCCAAATTGCAACCATACCAACTTTTCATTGGTTACTCTATCAATTCAAAATTTCTTGTTTTAATTTAAAAATAAATATTCTGTAAAATGAAAGCTTAATGTACTTTTTTGTAAAATGAAAATATAATATATTATTGTGGTTTTTTAATTTTACAGCACAAAAGGTATATAATACTAGTTATTGTACGATTGACAATCTTTCAATTTTAGAAACCAATTCGAAAATCTCATATGCTACAAATCAAATATAAAATGATTAAACTAGATATAAAATTATGAACTATCAATTTCTCTGTTCAATTATAATTCGGTAAAATAATTCTACATCAAAGCTTTAATATTATTATTAATTGTAATTATTATTTACTATTTTCTATATAATATATTATATTATAGTTGTTATCGAATTTTATTTTTTTAAGAAATAAAGTCTTTATTCTTTAGGGGTAATTTAGTCTTTTCCAGTTTTCTATTCGAGGGGGTTATGTACCTAATTTCATACCATAAGGGGGTCATGTGCAAAATGTCAAACCACAAGGGGTTATGTGCCTAAGTTCATACTATAAAGTGGTCATGTGCAAAATGTCAAAACCACAAGGGAGTTATGTGCCTAATTTCATACCATAAGGGGGTAATGTGCAAAATATCCAAACCACAAGGGGGTTAAGTGCTATTTACCTGAAATATTATATTGATTGCACTTTGTCCCATAAGTCAATTTTTGGAGGGCATTGTGCAACAAAAATAATAATTGAAAGGGGCAATGTGCAAAAAAGTAATGTGTTTAAGGGGCAACGTGCAATAATAATAACATTTAAAGTGGCAATGTGCAACAAAAATACTCAATTCCGATGAATAATCCATCCAAATTTTGGTATTGGGGCAATGTGCAACAAGTATGACATTTTGAAGGGGGGGGCATTCACTTTTTTAAAATATTAGGGGGTAAAGTGCGAACATTAAAATTTTATTGGGGGTGAAATGAAAATTTCCCTATTTTTAACATAATACTACAAATAAAGTGCATTAACAAACAATATTTTCTTCTTTTTTTCTTTTGGGCTAAAAAAAAAAGTTATTTAAACTACTCAAGGGCAGTTTCGTAGATCCCTTCACCACTCGTCTGCTGTCGGCATTCATTCTTTTTAGGAAAGCTTTTCTTCTTCTCAATTAAACGCCCTCCACGTTAATCCCGGTCAACTCCTCCGCCGCCGCCGTCTACGCGCCGAGAACGATCTCCGTCTGCCGGAAGGGGAATATTCCGCCTCCAACACCTTCCAACCATCGCATCCGATCATGACACCCGAATAGTAACTCTCTTGTACCTTTACAATTCTGATAAATCAAATCCGTAGTGAAAATAATGGTTTTTTTTTCCAATTGGAATTTCATATATATTTTTTTTCACTCGTTTATATTCGGATTTGATAGATCCACGCCAGTGGTGTGAATTTTAAATTTATTTTTTTCCCATGATGCAATGTTTTTAGAATTTAGATCCATGATTTTGCTGCTCCTTTTTTATTCTAAAGTTTTAAAATTTTCAATTTTGAGATCTGAATTCAAACTGCTTCTAGGTTGATTTCGTGATATCCGATTCTAGTTAACTCCTTATTGGGCATCGTTATATAATATTGATTCGTCAATTTAATTTGATTCCTATTTGTTCATACCTGCTTATTCATAATCTTGGTTAAATCGAAGAATTATGCTCTGCGTAAGCGGTGCAGCTATAGAATTTGCTTTAGGTCGGATTTGCAGGTGATTAAATTAGGTATTCCGTTAATTACTGCATAGCTAATGAAATACAATATGTTTTCTGCTGCTTTTGCTCTTATAATATTTTGCGGAACCTAATTCCTTACGGCTTTTCTGTTAGAAGAAACCCTTTCTTTCAACTATAGTTTTATATAGTATATATCTGAGTGGCAGAGGAAAATCACAAGATTTGTATTTAGCAGTGGCTGAAATTTATATCATGATGCATTTTTTCGTACCTTGAATAATATTATTGTTACTTACATTATGTTTGATGTCGTGTTTTTCAGTGACTACTTGTTCAAACTTCTTTTAATTGGAGATTCAGGTGTTGGCAAGTCATGTCTTCTCCTGAGATTTGCTGTAAGTCTACTGATTTTTCTTAATGTGGTTTTTAGACTAAATTTTGCATTGCGTATTGGCATTTAGTTATTCATGCTTAGATGGTTCGTAATCCCCTCCCTCCTATCTTTGCCTACGCACACGCACAAAAATAAAGAAAAAAAATGCATCCTACTGTGTGCATATAAAACAAGGTTGAACTGGTAGTAGCCAATTTGTACACAATATGCCTAAAGTTAGGCGTATATCAAAATCGAGAATATCATATCATTGAAGCAATAGTAAAACTGTTTAAAGACCGTCCCATTGAATATTATTGGACTATTGTGCTTGGATCATAACCATTTTTGGCCAACTGCATTTTTTTTGGCATTATAGTAATTTTAGTTGTCAACAGTTGAATAAGTATCCCAATGAGAATAATAACAGAGAGTGATGTTGGTTTGACTAATATATTATTGATAATGTTTTCTGAACTGTTAAAAATATAGAGTTAATAAGATCAATTAAACTTAGAAGTTAATTATGAGAAGCTTTTGCATGTGTGGTGGAGCATGATTTTATCCCCGAGTCTTGAAGTTTCTCGGTGAAATATAGTGGCAATGATGTGTTGGACCTTTTTTTTTTTCCTTTTTCATACAGGATGATTCGTACCTTGACAGTTACATCAGCACAATTGGAGTTGACTTCGTAAGACTTTGATTATTGTATTATAAGATTTACCCGACATAATCATGATCAGAGTTAAGAGTTATGAGTTCTGTACATTTCTTTTATATACAGAAAATTCGAACAGTGGAGCAAGATGGAAAGACTATTAAACTTCAGATTGTAAGTTTTCTTTGTTTTGATTTTACTATATTTTTCCAGTAATAAATTTCAAAATCAAGTGGACTTGTGATAATCATCAACTTATGAGATATTTATGTTACTTCTCACGATTAGAGTTCTTGGTACTTGGTCCGTTGCATGGTTAGTTTTTAATTAATAATTTAAAACCTGCTCATCCTTTCTTTTATCAATTGATAAATCAGCTGGATGTGGTATTTTGAGAAAAAATAAAGTGTTGAATATTATAATGTCTCTTATTCATCTGTACTTTATGAATGATATGGGTGCTTAAGTGCATTTCGGCTCTAGCAAAGTCTCCTCCCATGTGATCGAGTCTTATGAGGTCCGTTAATTGACTCGTACGTCTTATACTAATATTATTTGTTTGCAGTGGGACACTGCTGGACAAGAACGATTCAGAACCATAACTAGTAGCTACTACCGCGGGGCACATGGCATTATAGTAAATTTCTTTCGTTGATTTATCTTTCAATACACAATCTGTTGGCCGATCCAAATATATCATTGACTTACTCGTAATGCCTGCCAGATTGTGTATGATGTAACTGACCAAGAGAGCTTTAACAATGTGAAGCAATGGTTGAATGAAATTGATCGATATGCTAGTGAGAACGTAAACAAGCTTCTGGTAGGAAACAAGTCCGACCTTGCTGATAACAGAGCTGTGTCGTATGATACAGCAAAGGTATAACAAACTTTATTATTTTTTCACATGGATGTTAATGACTTAATATTATCGTTTTAGTGAATGTTTTCGCTTAAAATACGCTATTTGCTGCCGTAAAAAAAGGCATTTGCGGATGAAATTGGCATTCCGTTCCTGGAGACGAGTGCCAAAAATGCCATTAATGTTGAACAGGCTTTCATGGCTATGGCTTCTGATATCAAGAACAGGTTTGAAACCATCCCCTTGTGCTTTCTATTTTCCCTTTACATAGTTTGAAACCATTTATTTATTTTTTTCAAAATCTAATTTTTTTCAAAAAATTGCAGGATGGCAAGTCAGCCTTCATCGGGAAATGTGAGGCCACCTACTGTGCAGATCCGCGGGCAGCCAGTTGCCCAGAAGAGTGGCTGCTGCTCTTCGTAGATTTTTATTCTCACGACAACTACAAATCGGGGGGGAAAACTCATTACCACCACATGATGAAAAAGGCTTCTCTTTTATATTAGTTCCATTCTTTCAAGTATATGTTTATTCCTAAATGTCCTGTACAAATGAACAAAAAGGACACTCTGCTTATTCTAATAGCATTTGTTTTCTTGTTTTGCCTTTTTATTTTCCTTAGTTTTTCTGCCCACATGCTAGAAAAGATGTGGCTCACGTTGGAACAATTATGTTGTACTGTGTTTTTTTGTTCTTTTAATCATTGGAATTTGATAATCATGTTACGTTAGTCTTTTTCGTGTCATATGCTATCATTTTTTGGGCGTCATATGCTATATTTCAATAGTCAGCAAGGGGCATTTTTGAAAATTCTCTATAGTTTTTAGAAGTTCTTGCGTGTCGCTCTGGATCTAGACCTGACCACCGGTTCGGTTAGAACCGGAACCGGAACCGGAACCGAACCGGGGTCAACGGTTTTAGAACCGAACCGGAACTGGAACTGGAAAAACCGGTTCGGTTCCGGTTCCTCATTTTTGGAACCGGGAACCAACGGTTAGAACCGCGGTTCTAACCGTTTAAACCAATTTTTTTTTTAAAAAAAAAGGAACAAATTAATTTCCTAGCTCTCTCTCTCTCTCTCTCTCTCTATATATATATATATATATATATATATATATATATATAT